CAAATGACTTGATTTATTAAAAATACCACGTAAACAACGTATTTTTTCGGGACTCGTTCGATGATCTTGAAATATGTCTACAAATTGCAAATTAATCATGCCACGAATCACATAATGGAAGTTCACAGAGACAGGAACGTGATAATTCAATTTTTGGATAATCCCTCCAAAGCAACAACTGATTAGTGTCATTTCCTACGTGAATTTACCCGTTCACATGGTAATACAAAGCTTCAAGATGACTAGTAATGATATTTCGGTACTGAACGACAATGGTTTGGGTTTACAATGGTACGATTGAAATAATTATATATCTGGACTATAAGAAACTAATTTGTTTGATTACAATAATCAAAAACTGTACCGAGCGCCTTGTTCATGTGTTATCGTTCAGCATTAAATACGAAGCAGTTGCAAGTAAACGAGGATGAGTATACCACAAAGTAAATGCCGTTCCTTTCAAACACATACAACAAATACATCAAAGTAAACGATAGCAACCCAAAATTACATTCAAATCAAAACAATACATTTATGTATATCATATTTCTGCAATATCCAAAACACAACAACTCCAAAATAAATATATAAATGAACTCTCAACGCGTAAACAATCAAATTATCACAGTAACACAAATCTTATTGCTGCATTCAAGTTGATTTCGAGGAATATAAACTGCTTCGGACGATAACAATAGAGACAAAGTTGATTTGTTCTTATTTGAGTCGATCAAAACAAAAGTGATAATCTTTTGAATTTCGTGCATATTATGACGAAGGAACTTTTGTTCTTTCAGTCACGTTTCTCAGATTCATTGAAAATTTAAGATATCTATTCAAACGAAATTGATAATCTCGAAAACCACCGTTTTTCAGTCCGAAAATATTATTCCTTTCAACATGCAAACGGATATCATTCCTTGAGGATCTCCTCTTTGAGACAAAAGAACCGATCAAGTTTGCATGAAAACCGACAAAAATAACAGAAATGTGAACGTTAATTTTGAGACGAAATGCCTGCAGTCAAGCCTATATAACGATCCGCTCTCGATGGGTACAACATCGATTTTCGGTTGTTCCACCACTGTCGGAACGACCACTTCGACGTCTCGATGTGACCCGGCGATGTCGATAACCACTGCTAAATTCGTATCTGACCCACTGCCATCTTCCTAAACATTGATTTCAATAACCAATCATTTCCGTTCTGTTTTTAACCGAAGCATATTGCAAACTAGACAAGACCATTAATCCACTCACAGTGTCTTCATCATCGACTGGTGAATAAAGAAGCTGCGAGCCGGAACCTTCTCGTTCGCTGTTCGCATCCCTCAAGTGACGTTCCTCATAAATATCTGCCAGTTGGTTCGATAACATCGATATTTTCAATACTTCGTTCACGAATGCTTCTGAAATTGAAGCATTTGATTTCTGAACAGTTTAACTACGTAATGCATCTTCAATTTCTATTGACATTAGCTAACTTGCTAGAGCAAGCGTTACTTCAGTCACTTTCAGTTTCATTCTTCATCGATTATTCATTTATTTCATGGCTTATTGCTAGTGTTTATTCGCACTAACTGCTCATTTCGGTGTGAAGTGCTGCAACGGAACGGTTTTGAAAGCTTGTTTGAAAGGAGTATTCTTGATATGAAATGTGATTACAATTCAAGAACCTGATGAAAGGTTGTTGGACGAATCGAATTCAGGATTGAGCATTTGATTGCGAATGCCATCACCAACCAGTGGTCGGTTATAATCACTCAGATGAGTTCCATTCCAACACGGTACATCTCCGCTCGCCGACTCTGCCCATTCACCATCAATACAAATCGATTTCGAAAGCGATCGCCAAAACCCTCGCGTTGTTGCCAACTAAAACTAACACAAACCATCGCACGCTATGGAACTGACAACTGCAACAATTGTTTATAGAGATAACTTTTTTGCAACTCAATTAACTCGTTCTGTCTGTTGAAGATTACTGCCCTTCGAAGAAGCGGCTCAGATTCGATAGCTTTAGATGCAATTCCTCTGAAGCATATGGTGTGCAGAGTGTTCAAGGACGGACTATGCATAGAAAGTGTTCAAGAAGTGACTATCGATATGGGCAATGCACAGAAAAGGGATAAAGAATGCAAAACTGAAACAAACCCGGTCAATGAATGAAATCATCATTTGAGTATTGACACTGCTATTCGGCTCGGATAGTTGAAGTTGAGTAGATGTTATTGTTATGTTCGGTGATAATTGCGATTTGTCAATATCACGCTTTTTTATCAATTGTTTATTCGAATTTTTGAAACACTTTTGTATCACCTCAAAATTACTTCATTCAACGTACACACTCGAGTCATTCTTGTTAATTTGTTTGAAAATTGGCAATGAACAGAAAACTGATCACAGAGATCAAACGAATCAAGCGACAACCTTAGCGGAAATTTGATGGTCATTCTCTTGAAAGAGCATGATACTTTCGGATATTTGTACACCGATGGGCACCACAACACTTATCACATTATAAGGGCCCTTGAGTCGATTCGCAAGTTTTGTGAGTGTATCTGAATTGCGATCGGTCAGTTTTTTGTTAAAGCGCATATCCGAAAGAGATATAAGTGTTTTATCATCAACGTTCTTGAAGGCATACTGAGCGATTATTATCATGCGGATTAAACACTTGAATGTGCCGTGTTTTGATTTGTCTCTTATATTCTGATGGTTCATCGTTTCCAGTTCAGCAGAACTGATGGTAGATCTTGTTATCAATGACTCGGATTGCGATTGAGCACTGCCATATTTATATGTGATCAACGAATTTTTTCTACTACTTATATATTACAGCGTTTAAGGCTCGATTTCGCTGAATGCCTCAACTCGATTCATCTTCTTTGATCAAGGAGTTATTTCAAATATCTGATCTACGTATTATCTGAGGGAATGATTATTTATCTGTATAATAGNATATGCGCTAGACAAGTGAGTAAGTACTTAGGATATGATCATTACATTGATTTTAAGCGCCTTTCATTCATCTGCTAGCCAATGTCACTGCAAACGCGACTGTTAGTTAAGTGAATGAACGAAACATTTCTTTAAAATACGTTGCGTATTTTATTTGTATGTTTGTGTGACAATTCGCTGTAATTTGTGAATTTCGCTAAATAAAACAAAAGAAGGTGAATGAATCCAAATAAAACAACAACGGCAATCATAAAGCAATCAAAGTAACAACCCCATAAAATTTGTACTTTATGAATCAAAGCTACTTTATGAGTCGCTACTTGAAGTTTATGAATCAAAGCTATTTGAAGCTAGCTAGCCATTTTTATTGAATTTCAAATGAGCCATCTTTATTGATTCACCTCACAACGAATCATTGCTTGACAACACTCTTCAGCATTCTCCTCATCCATCAACCTTCCCCACTTATGCAGCTCCTCTTTGTGCGAAAAATGAGTTCAGATTCGATGGAATCCAAATAGATATTTAAAAGAAAACAATAAATTGATGTTGGGACTCATTAAAACTCTTACTTACTTGTGAGAAGTATGCACTGTTCTAGACTGAATAATCAAAGTATATGGACAACGATAGTGAACTTGACAAATTCAGAATTCGAATGTGCTTCTGTTACACTGCCATTGAAGAGATTTTGTACAAAATGATGAATTATTTCGAAACAAAGCAGAACAAAGACTACTTCAATCCTTTCAGATATGTATGTCACAACAACATCTTAAACAAAGATGAAATGTAAACTAATACAGATCATATACAAGCGCACCAACAAATACGTCATCGATAAAGTTACGCATTTATTTAAGCAGCTCAATTTAACTGTTGGGAAAGAACTAGAATTGAATGTGCATCTAATACTCTATCAAACATGTCATTATTGATTCATTATGGTGTCAGCAGAGCAAAATTATTCCACAAATTTGAATCAGTGCAATAGGACAAAGAAGAATTTATGCACTTACCAACAAGAACATTCCAAGGTTCGTCGAGTGAAACGTACTCGGCGAGACATCCTTTGAAAACATTCAAACATAAATTTGAACATGGTTTTCGAGCTGATTTTTGCATACACTGTGAGCAGTGTGTCACTCGTGTGGCAGCGATTGCACACGCATCTGACAATTCCTTCTAAAATTTTTTTTGACAATCAACTTTCAGCAAAATGTCAGAAACTGCTTAATTTTATATGATTTCACTCAGACTCAAACACAGGAAATGTCAGAGACTAGTTAATTTTACAGAATTCGACAATGCAATAAGTTTCAGCACTCCTTCAGCTTCTGAAACTGATGAATATCACTGAAAATTATAAGACGAATTCGTGATATTGTAATTCGTCGATAATTCATTAGATGACCAATGAATGTGTTAGGTCACACTTGTAGCATGAAAGCGACTCATAATGAATTTTTTAAGGTTAATGAGAATGTTCATTAGAAAGGGTACGGCACCGTTACGATCGTTGATTGCGAATTGGAAATTGACTAAAATAATCAATCAGTATCATATGTTGAAGTGATTATCGTTCAATAGAGACAAACAATTAATCTATCACCGAAGGAAGAGTCTTTGTGGAATGCCGATCGCGTTGATAAATTATTATCATAAGTCATTCATTAATTGACTGAAACCTTTTAACAATTCCGAAATTCTTTTCTCATTGAAATTATATTCGTCGTTTTCGAAAACACATACGAGGATGAAAATACGGAATGTGGGCTATCATATGATATCGCAATTTGCTATCACGAATTATTTACGAATATCACGAGTTTTTATCTCACAGTCAAAACTACCAAACAATAGCTCGCACAAAGAAGCACACAGTTTTCGTAAACTACGTCATATAGTCTTGAGATCCTTTCGGCTGCTAGATATCAAATGGCTGACTGAAAATACTCGATACTTTCGTCGCCAGTTGTCAATTCGTTTCATTTGCACCATAACTAGAAACGTTGATCATCTCAAGTTGGCGTTCAGAACTAAAGCGAAGGTTTTGTTTGGTGTGAACTTTTTTCTAATGTGTTATCATCCTTAATATATAAATGAGTGGGATTAACGTTCCACTTCCGCTAATGACAATATTCGTAATCAGATCGACTCTTCATTCATTACCAACTCAACAAACTTTTGGTTGCTATGCGAAAGTGAATGTGCGAAGAGATCTTTTGAAGCTTTTTTTGGGATGATTAATGCGGTTCAAGGAAAAGATACATCAACAATTGCTCTGAAAAAGTTTGTGGTAAATCTGATGGACGAATATTTTTAAATCATTGAAGCGTGTTGAGGGTTAACGCAATGCAACCTTTAAAATGGATTGAAGGATATCAGATGTGGATCGCAGTGCTCGTGTTAATGATTTAGCAGTGCGAACACTTCTCTCCAATTGAATCGTCATTTTGTTCGGAATATCACCAAACGGTTGGATTGATGACATCGATCCCCTCAAACAATCATAATCGCTCTTCGTTACTTTCTCCTAAAATTTTCATTTCGTTATCGTATTCTGCTCAAAGTTATCTCATTTTTTGCTTCGCATATGCATCGAAACAATCCTTGTCTTTCGTTTCTCATCAACCGGAAATGACAGCTTATTACAAAAGAATTTTGAGAACTGAATTTTCCCAAGGTTATCAACAACAATAAAATGATAAAGAATGTCATTTGAATGAAGTGATTAGATATCAGTTTCATTTGAAATCTTGTTTTTTTTTTGCAGTGGGTTTAATCGTTTTCGACAGTGTGATTTGTCATTTTGGTAAACTATCGTTAAGCGTGATGATGCTGGGAAAAGTTTTCAATCTCAAAGCGATGAGGTGAGGCCCAAAAAATGTCACACAGTGCCATAAGGCTATATCAACAAACTATCATGCTAGCAATTATGCTAAAATGAATGTTATAAAACGAGTACAAATTTTGATTCACTTCCATTAAACATTCTCACGCTATTTTGAAGGAAACTTCTTAATGTATGTTTTATCAATGCAACATCTCCTCACACACCACATCTAACAACATCACATGTCACTTAATATTGCCAACTACCCGATTAAAGATAAGCCGTGCTTAAATGAATGCTTAAGGAAAATAGAGTGCTATTAAGCATTCTAAATACTTAATACCAAACACGATTTATTGACACTATATTCCTTCTTGCAATTCAGCGCAGAAACGTTTTCAACCGGAAATGACAACCTGACAGTGAATTATTACTAAGGATGATCGTAACTAATAATGTCTAATGTCTAATCGTAAGCGATCGATGACAATCGTGAGTGTAACACATTGCAATTCTTCGAAATGACCAGTTACGGCTGCTCTTTGAATGTGTGATATCGCAATGCATACCATGCAATTCTCAAAGGTTCTCATGGCCAAAATTTCAGAAAACAAATTCTGTTAAACTGCCGAATATTCACTGTGTAGAACGGTTTAAAAAGCTAGACAAAAAAAACAACGAATTACCAATGGATTCATTATGGAGAACATTGTTCTGAAGAGAATGAAAAAGAAATCATCCAGTATTGTTTTCATTGAAGAGAATGTTTGGTTCGTGTAAAATTGTTCTAAACTATCAAAGAATCCACCGAATATCTGAAATTCATTTTGTATCAGTAAATATCTGAAAAATTTATGATGAATTATATTCATAAAATATTTTTCCAGCTATCGACATTTGATTTAAAGCTTAATCGCTATGTGTGCGCCCAATACATCCTTCAGGATGCGCAATGAACACATCTGCTATAAGTCATCACTTATAGCAGAAGCATGAGAATGGGGAAACGTGGCAATAAGATGTCGATTTTTTCAATTAGTTATGTTGAATTCATAATTTGGCAAGGATACGGATTTCAGTTAGACTGATGGTTGAAAGCTCCATCCGAGCTATGAAACCATACAAATTGAGTGTCATTCTATTCTCTTCCTTATCGAGAAATTAGAATGCAGTTTTTTTAACCTTTACAACGTGTTTACTGATAGCACCTTGGATCAAACACCATTGGTGTTCGAAGTCCACATATTCTCATTTCATTGAAAAGTAGTTGATTTTTAATTTCTTAAGTTATTGCACGAGTGATTTTTGATTCAAGATTATTAGACAAATAGAACGAGGATACAACGAGAGCATTTGGCGAGACAGAAAAAGGTTCTTTGATTTTCAGAAATTTAAGCAATTATCCATCCATGTGATCGATTTGTTTCGCATTTCGCTCATCAATCTAACTGCATATCGTCGAATGACAATAATTTATGTGGGCAATTCAGAGGAAAATTTTCATCGAAAGCATTATACATTTAAACGAACTTCGGTAAGGTGAATGCTAGAGAAGTAAATGTGTCTTAAAACATTCAACAACTGAATGAATGTGTTGCATAGTGATTAAACTCAATTAGCGACTCGAATGAATGCGCATTCGACAGTTCCGCATCAGATGAGAAACTGAGATAAGCTTGACTGTGGCAGTGGATTTGGGATTAATTTGAAAGATGTCGCCGCCATTTGCGAATGTGATGAAAAGGAAGCAACTCGATAAAGAACGACACCACATAAAAGGAGCACACCTGTGCATGAGATCTATAGAATAGTCCATAAGTTGTTGTGAACATTGCATGCAACTGTTCACGAGAACTTGAAATTGCACCTCGATTATGTTCTGAAATAATATCAGTGTTATGCCGATGAGCATTTATTCAATTTCAGTCATTAGCCAGTCAGCCAAAGATCAATTAAACTCATATTGGTCTTACNGCTAGCAGAAATGAATTGATGAATTCGTGTGAATCAGTTCGGACGTATGTATGTTATGAAATAAAAGATGAAGATGCATTAAACTGACTGTCAAAACTATGGAAATGCTGATCGAATATGTGCTTCAAGACAATGACTCGATCTTGAACCGAATGCAACACTTCACCTTTCATATGAGACAACATCTTCTGTTCAACCTCTCGAGTACAACACGTTGGTAATGATGTATCACATATGGAAAGGTTCGAATCTGTTGATTTCAAATGCACATTGTTTATGACATAAACAAATTATTATTCACTTAGCAGTACAGTTGAATGTTTAAGGTGTAACATGAAAAGCATTCAAGTCCCGGAGGAATGTGAATTACAATTCATTTTTCACGAAATCGCTCTTAACCTAATCATTGGTTATTTAAAATCAACATCACATCAACGAATTTCGATCGCACTGATCAAAACGAATTCGTTGATTGGTCATCAGTTAGAATGAGTATTATCATAGATAACTGAGAATGAATTCAAAAGGAACTTACTCAAAAGAGGTGCTAAAGGAATGTAATCGGCACTAAACGACGAGTGAATTAATGGTTGACAGGATGATAATGACCAACCGTGACTGACATCAATCACAAAAACACACCAAATCAAACTCTGCCGAAACAAACATCTCATTGTGAGTACGAATCATATATTTGGAACAACTTAACTATTCGTAGGAACATTTGCAAGAGTATTCTCTATTATTTTTCCCATTGATCCGCCTCCCTCCTTCGAACCTCATTTCTCTCTTATCTCTTTTTACCATAAACATTCTTCACACCACTTTTTTCCCTTTATTTCTTTACTATTTTCACTTCAACCACCAAAAATTGTCGAAAGCAGCATTCATTCATTATTTATCTATCTATCACTCATTGACCCATTCACTAATCGGCTTGTAAATCGCCTCCAATAGTGATCCATCCGATGGGCAGATGAACAGATTTATCATTACCGAGCAACACTCCCATTAACGAATAATCTTTCTCGATCTCTTAATAATCTACCCGATTCAATTCTCGTCCATATGTTCATTAAAATCTCCATCATAACGGTCATACTGTGTCATTTCCAGCAATCGTCAATTGCGCCATACTGTCAATTTTGTTGACAACAAACGGCGACTGCACAACTGCAGAACCAACAACAAAATATGAGATGACAAGTAGTTGTTACAAGCATCTGTCTAATTGGCATTATTGCATGCAAAATTTATTTGATTTACCAGAACTAACTAGTTGATTGTGGGCTTATTGTGCAGACATTCAATAATATTCCTGCTTGGTGCTTGTAACTGTTGCAGCATATCGATAGGTTAACAAGAAGCGAGGAAGATAAGAAGAGTGCAACTGTGATGTTGTCCTCCATCAACAAGCAGTTGTTATACCGTTCGTTTCCGTATATCTATGATTACATCTTATTTAATTTCCTCTTATGTAACATACACCGCCATATCGAAGCAATCACTGTATTCAGTGTTAAGCTTTTCTCAATGACCATTTCAATGAAAATTTTCCACTCGAAACAACTTTCGAAAAACCGTAAATTCGTCATTTTGCGATATCAAAGTGCATGTTGGACAAATGATATTATAACGTGTTCAGTTCGTGAATGGTCTTGCAGCAACGCATACGAAAGAGTTTAGAGAATTCAACTCATGAGAGCAATGGTCACTGGTATTGGATTGTTCGGTGAGGCATGATGATTGGATGAAAACGTTAGAAAGTAGAAAGCGATGATGAATGCATTCCAAGAGCGAGTATTGACTAACGATTGAGCTCTGAAGTTGAATTTTAGCTTTAAAATATGAGAGAACAAAATGACTGATTGCAGAAAAATTTTTGGTTGTTGTATTGGTGATTGTGAGAGTAAAAGGACGAACGTACGCTTGCGGAATATTATCATTTGTCATATCAAATGTGATTAATTATTTAGCACTCTATTCATTGATTTTCAGCTTCACGGTATCTATTACTTTCGAAAATGCATTTTGAATCGATTTTTCGAAAAATATGCTCCAAAATTGCTGAAATTTCCGTAACAGATGCAATCGCATTTCATTGATTTGTTCCATAGACTAAAATATGATACACCCCACCTTCATTTAAAATTCATGGGTTTGTTACATAGCCATAAGAAGGATGATGCTGTTTGAAANAATAGTCGATGAAATTCAGGTTGTTATTGCCAACACACTCGAAGTTTGCTTCTGAAAATATTGACAGAAATGTCAATCAATGAGTATCAATAGCGTGATTTAATCAAATAATTCAGTCGCAATTAACTAGATCCTCAGTCAATCAGAGTCGAACGATTTGGTTTGAAGTGGTATTGAGTGACATTTGAAAAGGTAAATTATGAGCAAACTGAATGGTGAGACGTCCAACGATTTTCGCACCCAATTAAACCAATAGAGCAATTTGTTCTATTCGAAGTATCGTTATCATAATCGCCTCAATAAACATTCTCATAAATTAACACTATCGACTCATTCGGAAACTATCTATCAAGGAAGACAATCTCTGTTCAAATGAAGACTATCATACACATTTTGTTGCATTCGTGAAAACTGATAGGGTGTTTCTTTAGTCATTCAATAAATAACGAAAAACAACATTCGCTTCCACTGCACCTCTGCATAAATCCATATATGATTGTCAGCTGCAGACGGATGTATGGATGTATAACTCTTGCATAAGGGATTTTCGTTTAGGAATATATATTTCATTGAACTAATCAGACTAGGCTCTGATAACNGAAGCTTCGGGTATAATGAAATCCTAGCTAGAGAGTTTTTATTCTTTCAAAAATATTCTCTTTACTTGGTTCAGTTTATCGTCTATCCCAAAATCATAAAATATCGCAATCAGGTTGAATGGTCTCGGACGTACAAGTGACCAAAGCAGATTTATCGCAAATATCATAAACCACAGGTATCTACCATTGCTCCACCTCATGCATGCTATCCTGTAAGGAATGACAAAATCTTTACATGTGCGATTTATAAATTAAATACACAAAAAATTAAAATGAACAAATAGTTTGTGTTATATATTACACATGCGTTTCTCAAAATTAATCATACTGGTCACCGTGTCAAATGGCTTCATCCGGAAGAGCATCAAAATTACAGCATTGAGACGTACAGCTGCATGATCGTGGTACTTTCCTGAATTGTATCAACCCTGTTAACCCGTCTTCATTGAACTCGGATCAATCTATTCGACGCAACTGTATTGTTGACATGATCTTGGTTTCTCAAAGGGATCAATACAGTGAAATGCTCCATTCAAACTGAAACTGATCTCATTTTTGAATTCCATATTCATTTCAAAGACAAGAATTGAACAATCGGAAATTATTTTAGAGGAGCATATAATGAGAAGAATATAAACTACTGTGATGGCAGTAATACTCATCTCAGAGATGATATTTATCTGTGCAACGATGCAATTTTCTATGCTCAATCGATCCTGCGACATCT